TCTTGTACCATTTTGTAATATGGCTAAAAAAACAAATGGAAATTTAATTTATTGCATATATACATGACATTAATCTAAGCTTAAGAAATATTTGATATTACTCTCTTTTCTGCTTTCGACATTGACTTCCAAGTCTTGGCAAGGAGTACAGTTAATTGTCGTGGGTGCAATTCCGGATGTTTTTTATTAAACTCTGATCTATTCATATAAATTTCAGACCAAATCCTGTATAAATATAAATATAAGTATATAGCTTAATTACGTAACTACGTACCTTTTAAGAGCTACAAATTGAAAGTAAGCATTAGCAGGTCTCTTTGGTAAAATTGAGTCACTTCTACGTTTCCTTCTAGATTTTTTTCTTTTAGTTAAATCTTTCTCATCATCATCGTCATCGTCATCCTCAAGTTGGTTTGAATTACGTTTTACCGAAATTTGATTTTGCGTTTGTGGTTCGCTTGTCTTTGATCCATCAACAATTATTGGCGCATTATTTGTTAAATCTTTTCTCAGCGGCTCTGCAGCCGAATGAATATCAGAGATTTTATTCATGTTGCTTTGATCATTAAGGTTTTGCTTCTTCACTGGATGTTTTTTTCGTGGCTTGCTTGTCACGCAATCCTTCCTTACAGGGGCCTTGGTCTTTCTTACAGGGGTATTAAAAATTATTTCATGAAGCGGTGCCCTTTCGTTCACACCTGCAATGTTTGATGGTTTATTTACGTTTTTCTCGGCATTCTTTCCAGAAGTTATGGTGGTATCTTGATCTTGTGACCCTGTATTATCGATAACTGGGGTTGATGGTGCTGATGAAGGTGCCGATATACTATTTGAAGTTTTAGGTGTCAAAGGGGTATCTATGGTCGATACAGTGATTGACATCCTTTTTTTTTTTTTTTTTACAAGCAAATGAAAAGATACGAATGAAAGGTAAGTAAATAAAGAACAACACTCAAGATTGATATTTATATAAATTAAAAAACGTCATCGTATTTACACCAAGTGATTTTTTAATGTTTGTTAATATAACTGAGACTAAAAAATATGGAAATGATATAACTGAGACTAAAAAAAAACATAAGGTTTGGCTATTTAAGCTATATATTATTATCGGATATAAATTAGAGGAAAAAGAGAAAAAGAAAATCAACATTATATGAGTGATGGCAAGGGAAGTCGGACTCCTTGTCTTCAAGTTTATTATCTATTATTTACCAGATTCAGCTCTGACCAACGATGTTATGATACGTAATTAAATTTACCTACGTATCATATATGTCTCTGATCAAATAATAAATAATAAAACTTGAAAGCCAGAAATTTGGTTTTCCTTTACCAGTTGCACCTGATACATCTATCATTGAACCATGCAACGTCTCTTATCGTATTGTTTATATAATAAAAAGACAATTCTCGACAAATTTTTATTGTAATAACTTATATTTCGACGAATTAATTAAGAGATTGCTTATATTTCGACGATTTCTAAATGAATTTCGATGATGTGCTATAATGAAATTGAATTCTTTTATAGATCAATATAAAAGTTTTTTTTTTGGAAAGTTGCTATTTTTTCTTACAAAGTGAAATCTATTAAGAAATAAACTAGGCAATTCCAATTTGAATATCAGATACGTATCAGGTATGTATAAATGATTAATTGACGGCAAGAAAATAAAGTACCTAGATTTATTTAATTAATATTTTCAAAATTTCGAATCAAAGATATTTGCAAATAATAAAATAATTTTTATATATCATTAATCACTAATAGTTTGAAATTTACAACCAATTTCGGTAATATAAAACGCAATTATAGAAATAAATTTATTAGCATCGGTATTACTATAGGTGCTTATATTGTTATTATTTTTTAAAATCTAGACTATACTGTATATTTAATATATGCTACAAAATAGAAAATTAACCCATAATAAGATGTTTTATAACCATAATAATAAGAATTTATTCTTAAATCATTTGTAAATAATTATAAAACTAGTTTATTAACAAATACGAAATAAATATAAAATGCCGGTTTATTAAAAAAACATATATGTATATATCTATATATATGTGAGATGTCCGCCGAGCTTAGTTAGAAGCCTAACGGAGGAGAAACCTCCGCGGAATTATAAGAGTTTGTGATTGTTTTCAACTAAAACCAAAAGAAGTATAAATCAAAAAATTCAATATGTGTCTTCCAGATATTTGGAATACTGTTTACAAAATTAGAAACAGTAAAACGGCAGATATCCGGATCGTATAAGAAATTACAAAACTGTACGTACGTAACTTTTACGTTAACTAGTGCAATAGCATACGATTATTACACCTGTATTCAAGGTTTTGGCAGCATTACTATATTTCATGTGCCAGCTCTATGAAAGTTTTGACCAACGTTGTTCGCATATCAAAAATTACATGTAAAAGTCACGTAAAAATTACAATAATTTCCACCTTCTATACCTGTATACTGTATACAAAGGGCATATGTTGCATGTTCTAGTGATAATTTTATCATTACTTGACTTGTTTAGTATGTTTGTTTGTGCAAAAACATATATTAAATTACAATGTAATCTATATGTAATGTGGGTTTAATTTATGTAATTACATACCATTCATGCCGAAATCATTAACTTAATCGGATCGCCGAAAAATCATTCGGCTAATTATGTGTGGTGTTCCAGGAATTATGATAATAGCAGTAACTATAAATTTTAGATAATAACTAGGGTTGTGTTACATAAATTACAATTTTACAGTTTACCCAAGTTTCAGAAATTAAATTTCATTCGGCGAAAATTTTTATGAGAATGTTTGATGACTAAGTAATATACGTAAATTATTTAAAAATGATTTATAAATATTATTATGATCAGTTTCATAAGCTATGAAAAGCAATTGACCAATCAAATACAATCTTACAATTTGATTTTACCAGAGATCAATTCTACTTACCAGAGATCGTGCAATATCGCATAAATAATTGGATTAACGTTATCATTAATTTTTAATAATCACCAAATCGCAAAAAATCCGCCCGTGTGTCATGTAATTTTCATCATATCATACATAAAGCACCAGGTTTACATAAGTTCTACCAGCATTATTGCATTGTTTGATTTGAATGTACGATCAGAATTGTAACTCATAAATCACCGAAAATTTGATCTCAGAAAAACTACCCCAACGTAACATTAACATAAGACGATCAAAAAACAAACGTCTTTTTTTTTGCCCATAACTCAAAAATCCGATTAATAAACCATCTTTAGTGCTCTAACAAAAGGTTTCCTTTAGCAATTTTACTATGTATTTTGGTAACAGCAAACCTTAATATAAACGCTGACCCTAATATTGACAAACTTTTAAAAATTTTGTTACTGAAACTTTTTCGGCGTTCTTAGGGTAGTTGAATTTGGTGAATCCACTAATCTATTCTACCTTTTCATAATAATTTTTACTATATACAGTCAGACTTCTCTAAATGCTATATGACGGGACCATATGTAAAAATTTAGGCAATTGTGCACTTAGAGAGGTAAAAATCTATAGATGTAATATTAATTGAGCCCAAG